ACAAATGTTTTCTAAAAATACCCACTTTAAAAGTCTAACATTTCTCCCTTCTCATTATAATTCATGGATGCTGCTTTTTAATAATTAAAAGTCACAAATCCACTTTAAAAGTTAAAAACCATTTAAAATTAATTTTTTCTTCAATACAATAGATTAGGATAATAGTTAAATAATTAAAGCTCGTTAGCCTAATACTAAAACATACACTCAAATAAACTTATATTCAAGCAGGAAAACAAACTTACAATACTTTTTCTTTGGTGAGGGTGGAAGCTAGACAGAGAGTGACTTCACATTACCAATGCATGAAGTTCTAACTTTCACCTACATATCTAAGTTCTCTAACTTTTAGTATTGAGTCCATAGAAAAAATATAGACATTAGTAGTGTCACTTGAAACAAAAGAAAATGATATCTTATTCACTACAAAGGATGAATCTGAAGCACTAAAAAAGTACTTAGAATTTCTGAATTTTCACCACAAAAACTGATTTAAAGTTGTAGTTTCATTTAATAATGAATTCATAATGTAGATTCAGCTGCCTAGATATACAAAAGCCCATTAAGCATTTCATATAAAAGGAACCTTTCTTCTCTGTTTGAAATAATTAATGTGTCTTTGTGAGGTGTGGAATTAAAGTGTGTGGTTCGAGATTTAAAAAGGAGTGTTGAGCAGGTGTGTGGCTCGATATAATAAATAGGGTGGCTGGCAGGTTGGCTGAATAAATTGATAGGTTGTGTGGTTGGTTGGTTTCAAATTCAAAAAATTAAAAGTGGGTGGGGCTTTTGTCTTTAATAGGTAGGGTGGGTACACTTTTTACAGCTGTCAGAATTATTTTACTTTGCTTTACATCTCTAGATTCTTCTCCTATTTTTTTTGTGGTTAAATTATAAAATATAAGTAACAATTTAAAAGGTTTAATATAGTAGAGGTATTTGGATTTTTTGAAAAGGAAAAATCGCATATATGGTCTCTCAATTATCCACGAAATTAAAATCTCAGACATGTATTTCTGATATTGTAAATGTCACCACTCAATTGTCCATATTGTTGTAAATGTGGTCCTTTAAGTGGTGAAATGTACTCTCGCCCACATTGTATATTTCACCCCTTAAAAGGACCACATTTAGAGCATTTTGGACAATTGAGAGGTGATATTTACAATCCAAGAAATACAGGTCTGAGATTTGAATTTCGTGGATAACTGAGGGACCATATATGCGATCTTCCCTTCTGAAAAATATAAGGTACATTAAAATTTAAAGAATATGGGCCCTGTATTGCGAAGAAATGTTTATAATATAAATTAAAATTCATAAAAATACTTCCTATGTTTTACGAGTCCATTATTAAAATAATGTACTTAAGATAAATAAAATAATTTAAAAAATCAGACCTGCAGTAAAATGATTTGGAAAATTTGATATTGTCAATTGAAAGAGTCTCCTATGATTACAAACTTTCTGGAATACAACAAATTTGGGGAAAATGGATTTTCGAGTATCTAAAAAGGAAAAATGATTTTTAAAAATTAAATTTGGTGATTTTTTGGCCTTATGGTTGACGTCGATTTATATTTGTAGACAGAATTACATAATGTATAAAAAAAATCCCGGATATGCAAGAACGTTTTAAGAAATACGAACAAATGAAAAGCCTTTTTGACTTAAACATCGGATCTGTACGTTTTATATTTTTTCCAGTTTGGCCAGTATTTTTGTGGTCGTTTTTTCACATATTAAGAAGAGGACCGAATGGACATCAGTAGATCTGCAAGAAATCTCGATAACAATGAAAACAAAAAAAATAACAGATCCACTATCTTACAGATCTGTATGGTTGGTTGTTATTTTCCATTGAAAAAGTTTTCATGTTCTTTGATGGTAAAAAAACGGAGTAGAAGAATTGGAGCTGTGTTTGTGCATGCAATGGTTCATGTGTGGTGTGGTGTGAGAACGAAAAACTTACCGATAAAAAATGACATCCAAGGTCGTAAGATCTATCTTTGTTCGTTGTTGCCGAAACGAGTTTTGCAGTTCATCACGGTTGCGTCGTTGTGATTCCCAGCGGCTGTGTAGTTCATCAGAGAGAGAGAGGATGTCTGATTGTTGGCGTGAGAAGCGGAGGGTTTGGGAGAGTGACGTGTTTTTTTCGCTTATATGGTGTTGGGTCAGGCTGTTTTCGGGCTTAATTTTATGGGCTGGCCCAACATTGTTTATTTTTTTTAACTGGAATGCATTTGGGCTCAAGCTTAATATTTAATTGAGTAAATTCCCTAAATAGGAGTAAATAGATTGTGATATTAGAAAATGTTTTCATGCTTCATATGTTCTTACTAGAGTTCAAGGTTTAGAATATAAACACTGGGCTGAACGCTTAATATATAGCATCACGTGATTACTAATTAGAAAACAAAGATTGTTATTGAACATAGAATTTATTATAGTCACTATTACAGATATAGATGACACTTTTGGTCTTATGACACTTTTGTGGTTTAATGTTGAATTCATTTTGAATAACAATCTATCTTTTTTCCCAGTCCGTGGTTGTGGTTTTGACGATAATGTTGATGTTTACGAACATGAAAGAGTTCTGCACCCTACAACTATTGTTTATTGTGACGGCATATTAGGACAAAATCAAAGCACACCTTTTTTGGACAGGGGTCGTGGTAACATTGTTAATACAAAACTATACATTATTTTTTTTAGCCAACATTGTTTCGTTGTTAAATATTTTTTGACGATTTACATTAAATCGTGTTATACATTGTCACAAAAGGTTGCGAAAACCAAGCTTAGGTTGAGTCCAAGACTACGGTCCCTTTGGCTTCAACGTCTGCTGACGCACGTGATACAACGTCTATTGATGATAGTGATGTGGATGATGAGTACGTGGATTATGAGACTTTTCCGGCGCACGCACATAACAGAGCAATTGGTGCGTGCTAATCGATAATCAATTACATTATCCCACATCATAAATAAGTACTTATTGGTTATTATGTTTGGATAATATTTTTTCCTCTTTTGGATTGTAGAGTTTGGGACATTGGTGATGCAAAATACGTGTGCGGATTTTGTAATGCCCTTTTTTGGTTTGAGGAACGTGTTATTTCCACGTCTTCTAAGAAAAATCCTAAGTATTCGTTGTGAGGCTAAAGTTAATTGGGAAACGCTATGGTGATGCGAGAACATATAATTTACCGTCTGTTTCTGAGGTCACAGTCTTGGTAGTTGGAGATTTTGACGAATCTTTGGGTGAGAGGGATATATTGGTTGAAACTCAATCTGGTGCACTCCAAAGGATAAATGAATTGAATCCGGCATATTTTGGTCTGCAATATCTATTATTGTTCCCTTGCGGGGAGGACGGTTATCGTGAGGATAGACTGTTGCCTAAGGGTGGTAATATTGTTGGAGGAGGTGGACACAAAGTGAGTGTGAGGGAGTTTCTTGTGTTTCGTGTACACGAAAGGTCTGATAATCATTCATCTATGTTGAAGACCAAAATCTTTTTCAGCAATTCATTGTTGACGGTTATACCTTGGTTGAGTCTGCGAGGTTGAGATTTGTTAGGACACATAAAAAACAGCTTCATTGTGAAACGTATAAAGGTTTGAGTGATGCTTTTTTACGCGGAGAGAATGATTCCCGTACACAAGGTAAGAGAATTGTGTTACCCCCTACTTTTACTGGGGGAGCACGTTATATGATACAGAATTACCAGGATGCAATGGCAATCTGTAGGTGGACAGGTTATGCAGATTTCTTCATAACCTTTACATGCAATCCAAGGTGGCCAGAGATAGATCGTTTTCTGCATCAAAGGAATTTGAGAGCGGAAAATCGTCCTGATGTAATTAGTCATGTTTTCAAAATCAAACTTGACGGTTTGATTAAAGATCTTCTAAAAAAATAAAGCCTCTGGGAATGTTAGAGGAGGTATTTTCTATTATGTACTCCTTATAATATTAACCTCATGTGGGTATTATTTGACTTCATTTGTGTTTTTTGCAGTCGTCTACACAATTGAGTTTCAGAAGCATGGCTTGCCTCATGCCCATATTTGCTTGTGGTTATCAAACGAAGATAAATTGCCGTCACCAGCTGATATAGATAGGGTAATATCTGCCTAAATTCCAGATATAAATCTAGACTCGATGTATTATGCAGCGGAGACGGATTTTGTGATGCATGGCCCTTGCGGTGGTATTGTGAAGTCCACGCTTTGCATGGTTGATGGTAAATGTACCAAGCACTTTCCTAAAAAATGGTGCGCAAAGACGACCGTTGATGACGGCGGTTATCCGATGTATAGGCGTAGAAATAATGACCGCGTAATAACAAAGAATAAGGTCGATTTGGACAATAGGTTTGTTGTTCCGCACAACCGTTATTTGTTGATGAAATATGGAGCTCATATGAACGTAGAGTGGTGTAATCTGTCAAGGTCCGCACAATCGGGTGACGACGGGTTTTTACCAGACAGTTGATGGTGATGCACAACCAAAGCCGATCGATGAGATACATATGTATTATGATTGTAGATACATTTCTGCTTGCAAGGTTGCTTGGCGCATTTTTGGGTTTGAAATTCAATATAAGACCCTGGCAGTAGAACGGTTGAGCTTCCATATGCCGAAAGAACAAAATGTTGTCTTTGGCGATGAACAACCACTCGATTCAGTTGTTCGAAGCCACTCAGTTATGGATAGTATGTTCACGGCATGGATGGAGGCCAATAAGAAGTACCCGGAAGGAAGATTATTGACGTATGCAAAGTATGTATTATGATTGTAGATACATATGTATTATGATTGTAGATACATTTCTGCTTGCAAGGTTGCTTGGCACATTTTTGGGTTTGAAATTCAATATAAGACCCTGGCAGTAGAACGGTTGAGCTTCCATTTGCCGAAAGAACAAAATGTTGTCTTTGGCGATGAACAACCACTCGATTCAGTTGTTCGAAGCCACTCGGTTATGGATAGTATGTTCACGGCATGGATGGAGGCCAATAAGAAGTACCCGGAAGGAAGATTATTGACGTATGCAAAGTTTACTCAGAAGTTTGTTTGGAAAAAGAAGACAAGAGAGTTGGCTCCTTCGCTATTGGCAGAGTCTACTATGTTCATCCCGGTAGGGGTGAATCGTATTACATTAGGTGTCTTTTGAATCACATTCGCGGTGCAATGAGTCATGAGGATTTGAGAACATTAAATGGTGTTGTTTATGATTCTTTTCGTGATGCATGCTATGCGTTAGGTTTGCTTGACGACGATAAAAAATTCATCGATGCTTTTAGTGAGGCAAGTCATTTCTCATCTGCCTATTGTTTGAGGATTCTTTTTGTAATACTGTTATGGACAGAGTCGATGGCTCGACCGGAGCATGTTTGAAAAAATGTTGGTCATACGTGGTTGATGATATACAATACACGCGAAGGCGAATATTGCATCATCCAGGTGGTGATTGTCATCCATATTTATTATTTCTTATCTTACATACTAGCAATGTCAAATTTTGAAAACTGTTATTTTCTATGTGATGTAACGTGTTATCTTCATGCTAACGCATTTGCCATTTGTATGTGATTCTTATTCACAGAATTAATTCTGTCAAATGAACAATTAGAGAGATTTGCTTTGGAAGAAATAGAAAGATTGTTGCAGAGCCGTGGAAAGAGTTTGCACGATTACCCTCCGATGCCTACTGTTGTGATTGATTCACTGCTATCTTCTAATGACAAACTTATATATGAAGAACTTTGTTATGATCAAACCGCCATGAGTGAGGAACATTCAACGTTGTTCAAGTCTCTTACGGATGAGCAACTCCGAGTATATGAGACGATAATGCAGTCTGTTAATGAAGAGGTTGGTGGTGTTTTTTCTGTATGGGTACGGTGGTACGGGAAAGACATTTGTATGGAAGACCCTTTTCTGCTGCCATTAGGTCTAAAGGGGAGATTGTTCTGAATGTTGCATCAAGTGGTATTGCATCTCTTCTTTTGCCGGGTGCATGTACGGCTCAATCTCAATTTGCAATACTGATAAGTCTGAATGAAGATTCAACGTGTAATATTAAACAAGGAAGTCTGCTGGCCAAGCTTATTGTACGGTGTAAGTTGATAATGTAACACCGAACCCGAATTTTACCCAGAGAATTTTTTTTCATCAACTACAGAGTTAAAGAAGGTAAGTCAAGACTAAGAGTAGTCTTGATAAATGAGAAAGATAAAATTCTTCTCTTAAATTATTAATGGGTTATTAATCTGACGTGAGACCCACGTAAAGGAGTAGGTGTAAAACCACTCTGAAAATGTTCATATATAACGTTGGGTAAATTAGACATGACACCTCGATAAAAGGTGAGGTAAATTTATTTTTACTAATTAACTTTTATAGTGTAGTAAAACTACACGCGAGACCCACATCGGGAGCGGGGACCACCTGTGGTATTTCTAGTGTATAAGATATTAATGTTGATCTAAATGATGCTATTATGATAGTAGGAATGAGTGATGGATCCCAGTGATATAAAGAGCGACAACTGGACGGCCGAGCGGGCCGGGGCCACTATTCAATAATGGGGAGCCCATAACTATCGGACTGTTAATAATTCACAGGATTTTGAATTTATGACAGAGAAATATAAATATTTTAAGAACCCTAAATAATGGGAAGATAAGTATATGATTAAATTAGTATATTAAAGGAGGGTACTTTTGAATGACCCTACCTTGAGGATATTTGGATATAGGAACAGAGAGATGAGATTTTATCTGTTCATACATATCAGACCACTTAAAAAGGAAGTGTAACATTTTATTAAAGTGTCACAAAATATAAAACCACATATTAAGTCATGAGAAATGACGAGTGAAATTTCGAGGCAACACGTTCTCATTTTTACGGTTACTTGAATAGTAAAATGCACGTTGGGCCCCACACATGGGCGGGGATCATCCGATATTTACGGACCACATATTATATTCATCTTGGTCTAGATGATATTTATATGATGTTGTAAATTACATTTGAACCATAAAGTTGGCCTTTCGATCAAACAAGGTCCTATTACCGGTATAGCTAATTTAACAGGATAAAAGCCCGAAATGAATTCCAGGGACCACTAAGTTAAAGTTGGGTAATATATATTCATTCAAGAGGCCAATATTAATTGGAGGAATGATATATATTCTATTTGACCCGATAAAATGAAATTTAATTAAAATAGTCCGAAAAATACAACTTTCCGGACCGATTATACACTTTGGGACATAAAAGGATGACCTCCCACATGAGTGGGGGCCACCCCCAAAATAATATCAACCAAGTCGGCTGATTGAGGGAAGGGGAGCTTTAGAAGTACATGCATGAAGGGATGAGGAGACAAATAAATAAAAGCAAAGGGACCCCATATGATATTGAGAGATATGCCCAAAATGATTCCCTTCACTCATTATTTCCCCCCCACTTCGACCAAACTACCAAGGAGAGAGAAAATAGACTCTTCAATTCATCATCTCCATAGCTAGTAACGAGCTCAAGATTAGAGGAGGCTCAAGGAAGAAGAAAAGCTTGGATAAGTGGTAAGACTTCATTATTAATTTTCCTCCTTCATTTAACCTCATATGATTATATTAATCATATGATAGATCCCTAAGCTTGTTCTACACTCCTATAGGTGTAGAATGAGGGGTTGGAAGGATAGTTTTAACCCTAAACGGACTTATGATCGGAGTAAGACCGGTTCGCTGGAAAATACCTTTTTGGAAGGTTTTGATGTTTATACCACTTTTGGTTTATGAAACCTTGTTAGGAATTTTACCAAGGTATTCTAGACTTCTCAAGGAATCTAGGAGTGGCAGGAAAAGTGGCCGGAGCCGCAGGAGTTTTCACCGGAAAATTCCAAAAGTCGCCGGAGTTCAAACGAAGAGGATAAAAGTTCGCTAGCGTCATTTCAAGGTGATTGGACGACTACGTGTCTTGTAACTCTTGGGTCAAACGTGGGATTATCTAAATAAAATCATAATCATGATTTGAGAAATGATTAAAAGGGTTAAAATGCATGATTAGTCATGGTGAATATGAATTATGGAAATATTACATGGTTAATGAATAAGAGATTTATTTGTGGATTAATCATGAATATAATATTGTCAAATGTATAAAAAATGCATACATGGACTATGTATGAGACAACTAGAGTAATCTAGTATGTGAATATGTATAGAAATGTTTAAGTGTTTAAACATATGATTAACTATATTAACCATATTGATTATAAATTAAGTGAAAGTGGCATGATTAATTAATGAGTAAAGAAATTATTATTAATATTTTTGATGAAGGATAATCATGAATGATTTATTTGGACATTAACTAAGGAAATTCAAGATGGTATTCTTGAAGGATTCAAGTACTTAATCATACATGTCATTAAATTAAATTTAGTTTATGAGGAATAAACTAGGGTAAAAATACATAGTATGATTAATTAATATAAATGAGTTTGTTGGCTCATTTGAGAAATGACCAAAGTAACTCAAGTAATATTCTTGTGAAGATTTTAGAACGCTTAAGTGTGCATATTACAAAAAATGATCTAGTTATGAGAAAAAAACTAGAACAAAATATATAAACGATTAATAAGTATGAAGTACTTATTACTAGTTGTGAGAAAACGACTTTATGCTTTATAACTTTTGCGTGAGGCATGAGATTACCTAAAGTAATCAAGAATATATTTTATGAAATGATTAAAGATAATCAAGTATGTGTTATGCCATGATTATATGTAAAATATAGTTGAAAAGCATGTTAAGTAAGTTTGATGATTTAAAATGTGATAGTTAATTATGTATGATGTTCCAAGGACCCAAAAAGGTTTTTTTTTGGATTGTGGAAGTCAAGAAGTACATGTGTATAAAATTTCACGTAAATCGGACTTCGTTTGGGTGGTCAAATGGGTGTTGACCGCCAAGTCAAAGGCTATACCCGACCGGGTATGGGTAAATACCCGACCGGGTATGGGTAAATACCCGACCGGGTATTAGCTAAAAACAGTCCCAAGGGCTAGTGCCTCACCATACCCGACCGGGTATGGGTAAATACCTGACCAGGTATTAATTAGAAATGGTTCCAGGGGCTACTGCCTCACCATACCCGACCGGGTATGGGTAAATACCCGACCGGGTATGGGTAAATACCCGACCGGGTATTGGGTTATACACCCAATATGCTGTTTTTGAGTAAGTTTACGTGAACCGTTCGGGTGGGACCTGTCCATGTTGGTTGCTATGGCTTCGAATACGGTTTGAATGCTAAGACTTGGACTAGTCGTTAGTAAAGATATTATAGACCACGACCGGGCGAGGTAAGTGGTAGATTATACATGGCGGGTGAATACCCGGGACCGAGTAAGGTCGGGTAAAACTCTGTAGGACCAGGAGGAGTCCTTTATACTCAAATGTTAACAAGGGCCCGTGTAGTCCTTGAGGTGTGTTAACCTCCAGCAAATTACCAATAGGTAACAAGGGCAAATGCATTTCTTGAGGTGTGTTAACCTCCATCAAATTGCATATAGGTAACAAGGGCCCATGTAGTCCTTGAGGTGTGTTAACCTCTAGCAAATTACACATAGGTAACAAGGGAAAATGCAGTCCTTGAGGTGTGTTAACCTCCATCAAATTGCATATAAGTAACAAGGGCCCATGTGGCCATGTAGTCCTTGAGGTGTGTTAACCTCCAGCAAATTACACATAGGTAACAAGGGCAAATGCAGGTCTTGAGGTGTGGTATCCCCCATCAAATTGCATATAGGTAACAAGGGCCCGTGTAGTCCTTGAGGTGTGTTAACCTCCAACAAATTACACATAGGATGAGGGTGTATGCGTACTCCTCAAGGCGGGGTTAGCCCCGGGGATGTAAACTATGATTGTAAGGACGGATAGTCCTCGAGGTAGGTGAACCTCAAGGTAATGATTCTAAATGATTAAACATGTTTGATTGGGAATGAGTTCCCGATAGGGTATTTTCCTTGGTCTAGGAATTTAATTTAAACCATGACCGTGATATGGGAGCCTAAGGGCCCCCCACAATAATTATCTTTTGTTATCGCGTGAGTTAGCCTGCGGGTGACTCCACTCAAGGGTAAGACATGGGAAGAGTGAATTTAATGAGGCTGTTTCGCCTAAATGATTTGAAAGATAAATGAGTCCACGGTCCGTATATATGTATACAATATGTTTTGAAAAGGGGTAGCCAAGATTTATGCCTATACCTATACTATCACCCTATGTTGAGGGTCCCATGTGAGAAACGTTAGTTATATTGCATACAGTTTGCCCTCGCCAGTACTTTTCTGTAGTACTGATCCCTCGAGGGAACCATCCTTTCAAGTTGAAGCTAGAGCTTACTTCCTGCACCCGTTGTTCGGGAGATCGATGGAGAGAAGATGTGGTTCGTGCTTCCTCTGGTTCTATTTCTAAATAGTTAAATAATGCTCATGGAACTATTTTTGACTTATAAATAATTGGAGCTTGCGAGCTCTTGTTTTTCCCTTGTGTGGGTTCTTATTAAACACTTATTTTCCGCTATGTGTTTAATGGTATGTTGATGTTGTTATGTATGTTTACTAATCCGTTTTGGCATATGTATCTATTGTACGTCTTATACAATTTAGTAAGGATGAACTGTGGTTATTCTTATTGGGTTGTATGATGGTTGTATACGTGGCACAGACGCAGTCTGGGGCGTGACAAATAATATGGGACGAAGCTCCAATGTTACACAGGTTCTGTTTTGAGGCATTGGACTGCAGTATGAGGGACATAATGCAGTTACATAAACCGAATAGTGGGGCTCTTCCTTATGATGGGAAAACAATGGTATTTGGTGGGGATTTTCGGCAGGTGTTGCCGGTGATACCTCACGGGAGTAGACATGATGTAGTCAATGCCACAATTAATTCATCATATTTGTGGTCGGAATGCACAGTCTTTCGTTTGACAAAAAATATGCGCTTGCAGAACATGACTAATCCAGCAGATTCTGACAATTTAAAGGTCTTTTCGGATTGGATTGCCAACATTGGTGACGGGGTTTTGGGTGAAAGTAATTATGGTCATGTTCGTATCACTATTCCTGAAGAT